TTGCCTTAGGATGGACAGAAAGACGAGTGAGTTTTAGCGCTATGTTGGTCTGCTGGAGTCTACCTAAAAGAATATCTCAGCCTCGGTGTCTAAAACAACAGACATTTATTTTCTCACAGTTTTGAAGACTGGAAATCTGAGATCAAGGTGCCAGCATGATTGGTGTCTGGAGGCCTCTCTCCTTGGCTGGCTGATGGCCCTCTACTGGCTGTGTCCTCATTTGGCCTTTTCCCCGTGGATATACACACACAAAGAGAGAGAAAGAGAGAGAGACAGAAAGAAAGATAGAGAGACACAAACAGAAAATTTGTGTTTCTTCTACTTATTAGGACACTACTGTTATTGAATTAGGGCCCCAAACACACGTGTGTGTGTGTGTGTGTGTGTGTGTGTGTGTGTGTGTGTACTAGCACTGGGGCTTGAATTCAGGGCTTGGGCACTTGAGCCACAGCTCCACTTCTGGCTTTTTGCCAGTTAATTGGAGATGAGTCTCACAAACTTTCTTCCTCTGAACCTCAATCTTCAGATCTCAGCCTCCTGAGTGGCTAGGATTACAAGCATGAACCACTTACACCGGGCTCCAAGCTTGTTTAAGTTTAATTATCTCATTTAATCCTACCACTGAGCCACCTTCTCAGCCCTACCTCATTTAATCCTGTCTGTACATAGATTTGCACTGGGGGGCTAAGACTTGAACACAGGAATTTAGTGGAGGAAGGATAAGATACAATTCAGCCGTAACAGAGGCTAAAAGAAAAATAATAAACCAAAAGGAAGGGAAAAGAGAAGAACATGGATTTGTAGAGGCGAGTGGGCTCCAGATGGAGCAGGCCCTTGTAGAAACTTAGTTTATAAGGCTCAGAGAGAGTAATTGCTTATCTTTTGCAGTACTGGCGTTTAGCTGAGTCTTGCACTTTCAAAGCACGCGTTCTACACTGAGCCACACCCCCAGTGCTTGTGTGTGTGTGTGTGTGTGTGTGTGTGTGTGTGTGTGTGTGTGTGTGTGTGTGCTAGTACTGAGTGATGGGTAAAGGGATCCAGAATGCAGGAGTCCCAACTCTTCTTGGTTTTGTCTTTCCCTATCTCTCTGGCCTGGGCCAATTGAAGCATCTCCACTTCCTATGCTGCCCGCCCCCTTCTTTGTAGCACTCAACTTCCTGCCTCACAGAGGAAGTGGGGAGAGATACCAGGTGCAGCAAGAGCTGGGGAGCCATGGTGAGTCCTTATGCCCAGGATCCCCTCCCCCCCTCCAGAGCCCCCTCCCCCCAAAACCTTGGTTGACACACAGCAGGCTGACTTTTCCTAGCCTCTGGGTTCAGGTGATAAGGGGGCTATTCCACAGAGCCTCATATGGAGTCCCCCTCACCCCTCCCAACAGGACAAGGAGTATGTGGGTTTTGCAGCCCTCCCCAACCAGCTGCACCGCAAGTCCGTCAAGAAGGGGTTTGACTTCACACTCATGGTGGCAGGTCTGGGGGTTCTAGGAAGGGCTTTGGGGAAATGGGTGGTGTCCCCAGGGAACCCTAGCTCTCCCTAACTCTGATCGATTGGCTTGGTCTGCCCACAGGGGAATCAGGACTGGGGAAATCCACCCTCATCAACAGCCTGTTCCTTACCAACCTGTATGAGGATCGGCAGGTGCCAGATGCCAATGGTAAGACCCTCCTGCCCCCTCCTTTGGCTGTGTCCCTAGACTGACTCTTTTCTGTTCCAGCTGGGGACTCGGTAGCCACTGCTTCTCCCCCTGAAGAACGAATGGCAGCAGCTGTGTTGCTGGGAAAGGAACTCAGTCGTGGCTTCTCCCCACCCCCACAGCCCGTCTGACACGAACGCTGACCATTGAGCGCAGGGGTGTGGAGATGGAGGAGGGGGGTATCAAGGTGAAGCTGACCTTAGTGGACACACCTGGCTTTGGGGACTCTGTGGACTGCTCGGACTGGTGAGGAAAAGGGCAGGGGATGGGGGATGAGCTTCTCAAAACAGCTGTCTGGAGGCCTAGGGGTCAATCACAGGGTTAAGTCTATCCTGGATCCAAAAGGAAGTCATTTCTGGGCTTGGTGACATCTCGCCTATGTCCCCACCCGTTGCCTTTGATGCCTTTGGTTGGCAGCAAAGGAACTATTTCTTGTTCCCATAGCCCTGGTTAGCCTTATCCCCTTCCCTGTCCTCTAGCCTCTGATCTCTGACCCCCCACATCCTCTTCCCACACCCCAGCTGGCTGCCTGTGGTTCGCTTCATTGAGGAACAATTTGAACAGTATCTCAGAGATGAGAGTGGACTGAACAGGAAGAACATCCAAGATTCCCGGGTTCATTGCTGCCTCTACTTCATCTCGCCCTTCGGCCGGGGGTCTGAAAGACAACCCAAGGGGTGGGAGTGTTAGGGGTGTCTGCTTTTGGAGCTTGGTCCTGACTAATTTCTGGGTGCAGGCTCCGACCCCTAGATGTGGCCTTCCTCCGGGCAGTGCATGAGAAAGTCAACATCATTCCAGTTATCGGTAAAGCAGATGCTCTGATGCCTAAGGAAACCCAGGCCCTCAAGCAAAAGGTGTGGGCATTGACCTTAAAGTGAAAAGTCATGACCAAACACAATCTTAGGTTTGATTTTCTTCCTTTAGATGGGAGTGGGGTGGAGGAGGTTGGCTTTCTTAGAATTCTAAGTGTCAGGCTAGATTATAAGAGAAAGTGTCTGAGGAAGGTGGGCAGGGGGTTGCCATTCCTGAAAGGGTCAGAACAAGATGGATGTTCAGTACTAGATACTTGGCTAAGACCCACTTGGCCATGATGATCTCTGACATTGTTTTAGCCCCTACCTGGTGTCTTCAGAACCTTTGCTCACTGCTCTGTTTGTCTCTCCTGATCTCCGGGTATCTGTCCCACCTTTCTCAGTTTCTAACCATCTATGCCTTTAAGATTTTGTTGGTGGTGGCTGCGGTTGTGGGTCTTGAACTCAGGGTGTGGGTGCTGTTCCTGAGCTCTTTCACTCAAGGCTAGTGCTCTACCACTTTGAGCCATAACACAACACTTCTGGTTTTTTGGTGGCTAATTGGGGATAAGAGTTTCACCAACTTTCCTGCCTGGGCTGGCTTTGAACCATGATCCTCAGATCTGAGCCTCCTGAGTAGCTAGGATTACAGGCGGGAGCCACCAGCACCCAGCTAGATTTTATTTTTGGTTAGCTTCTATGTGTATCCCTCACCATCTCTGTCTTTCCTCTCTTCTTTTGTCTCTGACCATGCACTGTCTCTGGCCAGGCCAATATTCCCTAAGCCTCTGTTCCTCACTCTGTATCTGTTTCCTTTGAGATCCGGGACCAGTTGAAGGAGGAGGAGATCAATATATACCAGTTTCCGGAATGTGATTCTGATGAAGATGAAGATTTCAAGAGGCAGAATGAGGAGATGAAGGTGGGAGAGGGCACAGGAGGAAGAGACAGAGAAACCAAGAAGGCAGATGTGGAGGTGGAAGCTGATAATTTTCTGCCCACTAGGGGCCGACATGACCCCTGATCCCTGTCTTCTAGGAAAGCATTCCTTTTGCAGTGGTTGGTTCCTGCGAGGTGGTAAAGGATGGCGGGACCCGACTAGTGAGGGGACGCCGCTATTCCTGGGGTACCGTGGAGGGTAAGGCATAGACACGTTCTGGCGCCAGCTGGGAGCCCAGAGTCTGCACCTGATATGTGAAATTGGAGTGGGCACTGGTCCGGGGAGTTCCTGGGAATCCAACTAGGGATGCAAAATGTGGGTCCCTGAGAAGTACAACAGCAGGACTCCCAATGCACCTAACCTTGATCCTGAGGTTGGGCCCGAAGCTCCCCGTCCAGCTCTGGTTCCCCCCATCCCCCCTCCAGTGGAGAACCCACATCATTGCGACTTCCTGAACCTGAGACGGATGTTGGTGCAGACACACTTGCAGGACTTGAAAGAGGTGACGCACGATCTGCTCTACGAGGGCTACCGAGCCCGCTGCCTCCAGAGCCTGGCCAGGCCCGGGGCTCGAGACCGAGCCAGTCGCAGGTGAGAACTGGCGCCGACTTATTTTAGATGCTTTTATTTTCGTGCCCGACCCTTAGGGCAGCCTTTCGGGTAGGCCCCGCCCCAAGCCCCGCCTCCAACAAGACTTCTCCCTCACTTTCTCCTCCCACTTTGCCTAACTCAGCGTCCGTGGCCCCGCCTCCCAGGCCCAACTTCTCCCCAAACCCAGACCCCGCCCCTGACTCCGATCTCCCCCTCCTCTACTCCCTCTCCCCCCCTCCCCATCCTCCCAGTAAGCTATCTCGTCAGAGTGCCACAGAGATCCCGCTGCCCATGCTGCCTCTGGCCGAGACGGAGAAGTTGATCCGTGAGAAGGACGAAGAGGTGAGGTGCCTCACTTCCCCTCCAAACGAGGCCCTGGGTCATTTTCACGGTGCCCCTTGGGCTTTGCCTGGTCCCATCGCCTGCAATCTTGCCCCGCACAGCTACGCCGCATGCAAGAGATGCTGGAGAAGATGCAGGCCCAGATGCAGCAGAGCCAGGCTCAGGGCGAGCAGTCGGACTCTCTCTGAGGTCCCCGCCTCTGCCCTTCCTTACCTTGGCTCCGCCTTAAGTAGGTCGCTTGTCCAATCCCCGGGCTCCGATTGCCCAGCCGGACCCCAACCACTAGATGGGCCTGGCACTTGCTTTGCGCAGGTGCTCAGACTAAATGGTTCAGCCCCAGAGCACTATGCCTGAATGTGCAGCCCCGCCCCGCCAGAAGCCCCGCCCACAGCCAGAAGCCCCGCCCAGTTCTTGCAGAGGAGCCCTCCAGGCCAGCCCTAGACCGCTCCTCTCCACTTTGGGGTGTCCCCCTCTTCATTCAATAAAATCAGCTTCTCATATCCACTCGAGTGTTCTCCATCCTCCCAGCCCGCTGGCCTCCTGGCCCTTCATTCATTCATTTGTTGGGACACTGTTTGGACAGTGTCATCCCAGCTTTGAACTTGAGCCCCTCTCACATAAACATACTGAAGGCGCCGTTAATAAGAAAGACCAGTTGAATTTTATTGGGAGTTTGTTTGGGTGAGAATCGGACTGGCTGGAAGTGTTGTTGGCCACCAGAGGCCCTAAGAGGGTCCTCTCTACTCCTGGTCCTTAGCATCACCGTGCGTGATGACGTAGCAGATGTTCTTGTAGTCTACGTTGCCGCCCACATCCGGGGGGAAGGCAGCCCACATATTCTTGATCTGAGGGAAGATGCACCTACACCTCAGCATCAGTTCCTGGCCCTTTCCCTCCCAGTTCCTTCCTCCTTCCCAGCCTCTCTCCCCACTCACCTCCTCCTGGGAGAAGCGGTCACACTGTGTGGTAAGCAGCTCCTCCAGGCTGGAGAGGTGACATTAAGGGAATTGAGATTGGGTTCATGATTCCTGTCCACTTCCATCCCCGTTGCCACCCCCATGCTTCTCTGGGGCCTACTCTTAGATCTTTCACTCATTTTCCAAAACTGCTCCCTCTTAAGTTTGTCCCAATGTGCTGCAAAAATGTAATCCTACTACTAAGTTTCTCTGTCTCTGTCTTTCTCTTTCTTCCTTGCTTGCTTCCTTCCTTTCGCCAGTCCTGGGGCTTGAACTCAGGGCCTGGGCAGTGTCCCTGAACTTCTTTTGCTCAAGACTAGCACTTTATCACTTGAGCCACAGCACTACTTCTAGTTTTCTGGTGGTTAATTGGAGATAAGAGTCTCACCAATGGGCTGGGAAGGTGGCTCAGTGGTAGAGCGCTTGCCTTGCATACATGAGGCCCTGGGTTCTTATTCCTCAGCACCACATAAGAAAAAAGAAAAAAGCCAGAGTGGCACTGTGGCTCAAGGGGTAGAACTCCAGCCTTGAGCTGAAGAGCTGAGGGACAGTGCCCAGGCCCAGAGTTCAGGCCCCACGACCCGGACTCCCCCCCCCCAAAAAAAACAACAGAAAACAAACAAACAGAGTCTCACCAACTTTTCTGCCTGGGTTGGCTTTGAACTGCTATCCTCAGATCTCAGCTTCCTGAGTAGCTAGGATTACACGTGTGAGCCACGAGTTTTCTTTCTCTCTTACTCGCTATGTAGCCCAGACTGACCTGGCCTATATAGCCCAGGCTGGCCAATACTGTAGTAAGAATTTAAGGAGCCGTCTGTATGGAAACAGTGAGAGGGGCCACTTACAACTGCTTCTTGATGGTGCCCTTCCCTTCTGGGTCCAGGACCTTGAAGGCACCTGTGATCACATCCTCGGGGTCAGCGCCTAAAGGATCAGAGGACATCATGAGTCAGAAGAGTGACTGATGGTCTGGGAAGAGGCAACTGGGGGCTTAACCCCAGGACACTTCACTCACCTTTAAGCTTCTCCCCAAACATGGTCAGGAAGACAGTGAAGTTGATGGGACCACTGGCTTCCTTCATCATGGCATCTAGTTCCTCATTTTTCACATTGAGGCGGCCTGCAGAGGGATAGGGGAAGCAGGGGCTGGGACTGGGTCCCCTAAATTTAGATTACTTCATTTTTTTTTTCCTAGCTAGATAAACTGAGGCCTAAGACAACTAAATTCCCTTGGATGCTGCAGTTTTGTACTGACTATTTATGGGTGGGAGTATGGGGCTCACCCATGGCTGCGAAGGTGTCCCGAAGGTCCTCCTTGTCAATAATGCCATCACGGTTCTGATCAATTACAGTGAAGGCCTGGAGAGGGAAGGGGTGAGAAAGAATAAGGTCCCACATAGTCTGGCTTCAGCCAGATCAGATTCTGGCCCCCAGCCAGCTGTCCCCTTCCACCCTAAGCAGGGGGAAGGGAGGAAGGAATTCTAAACCTTCCTCCTCCCCCCAACAGGTGCACATTCCAGGGAGGGGAGGGGAGGACTGTCTTTGGTCTTTGGTCTCCCATCTCCCCTTACTCACCTCTTTGAACTCCTGGATCTGAGTCTGGTCAAACATGGAAAAGACATTGGAGCTTCCTTCTGCTGCTGCCCTTCTCTTGGCCTTCTTAGGTGCCTAGGGAGTGAGGATTGGGCAAAAGGGTCCATGGGCCAGTCCTTAAACCTCTATGGAAGCAATGATTAGATTCAAGTTTTTGTGGCGTTCCCCACTTTTATTTTCTTAAGATAGGGTCTCCCTTTGTCATCCAGGCTGGCCTTGAACTCAACTAATCCTCCTGCCTAGTCAGTCTCCCAAGTAGCTAGGACTATTATAAGAATCTTCACACACACACACACCCCCCCCATTTTCCCCTATTTTTCTTGGTAGTGAGATTGCTGGGCAAGCATTGTATCACTTGATCCAGACCTCCAGCCTTTGAATCCCCCCCTCCTTTTTTTTTTTTTGTCAGTTGTGGGGCTTGAACTCTGGGCCTGGCTGCTGTCCCTCAGCTCTTCAGCTCAAGGCAAGCACTCTACCACTTGAGCCACAGCACTACTTCCAGTTTTCTGGTGATTCATTCTGGTGATTCAAAGCCAGCCTGGGCTGGCTTTGAACCGTTGATCCTCAGATCTCAGCCTCCTGAATAGCTAGGATTACAGGTGTGAGCCACCGGCACCTACTTGAATCCCTTTTTGTAAAGTAATTTTTCCCCTCCTTGGGATTTCTTTGCTGAGGAGGCTTAGCCCAAAGGTTACAACCCCCAAATCCCACCTGTAGTTCTGGGATCCCATTCCTTTCATCCTGCCCAATAGGTAGAGACTTCTTTCCCTTCTCAGTACTCAGTACTCTGGGACTCCTATGAGTCCCAGACAAATTGTGTGGCCTTGATCTACTCATTTACTCTGGTTGAACCTCATTTCTAAAATGGGAGTAGGAATCATCATGTCCCAGAAGACTTTAGGAAGATGGAATGCAAGAAAAGACAGAACAGGCTTTGAGGGGGACTAGACCCTGGTGAATGGAATGGAAGATTATCCTTAAGTTCTTTAGATCTTCGCTATGCCTGTTTCTTATTCTTATTAGTAATGTTAAGAAAGACAAGCATCATCTTTTATTTCTTTTCAAGGGTGAGGCTGAGTATAAGGGATCTGACCAGGGGCAGGGGATTCTCTCACTCACCATGTCTTATGTCTTCTGAGAGTAAGGCAGGAGCTCCAGCTGGAACAAAGCAGAGAGTCAGCCTGGAGCAGTCCATGTGGAGTTATATAGCCCTGCCCCGGGGAGCCCTTAGCATACCAGGGTAACCTTAGCCCTGTTGGTGCCCACCCCAGATACCAAAATAGCCCAGCTCAGGGCCTCTCCTTTCTTGGAGGGCCTGAAGCAGCTGGAGCCTAGGGAGGGAGGAGGGAGTGGGTCTTGGGATGAATGTCTCATTAGGACCTAGGCAGGAAGAGATTTTTTTCCTCCCAAAAGAGGCCTAGAATAGGTGGTGTAATAAGGTATAGTAACCATTGATTGGTTACCTACAGTGTACACAGGTAGTATGCTGTGCTTTGTGAGTACATGTTGGTAAATACAGTCCCTGTGCACCCACATCCTAGGATTCATAGTCCACTGTGTATTGGTGTGGAGGTAGTGGCAAAGCTTAAAGATGGGAAAGAAATACCTATGGAATCTAAAAGCTCAGGAAGATTTCCTATCCTATTTTTTTTTTTTTTTTGTCGGTCGTGGGGCTTGAACTCTGGGCCTGGGCGCTGTCCCTCAGCTCTTCAGCTCAAGGCGAGCGCTCTACCACTTGAGCTACAGCGCCACTTCCGGTTTTCTGGTGGTTTATTGGAGATAGGAGTCTCACGGTCTCTCCTGCCCGGGCTGGCTTTGAACCGCGATCCTCAGATCTCAGCCTCCTGAGTAGCTAGGATTACAGGCGTGAGCCACCAGCGCCCGGCTTCCTATTTTTTTTTGTGAGGAAAGATAGTCTGTGGTTTCAGGCTTTGAGCTTTAAACCCCTGGGCCTGGGTTTCATTTCTATAAAATGAGAACAGCTCTCATACTGCAGAATTTTGTATTATAGTCAACAGTTAAGCTCTTCCCTGGTGAAATTCAATAGTTTAGCCATGGAAGACAGGAATAAATGCTAAGAGTGATATGTCTGCTGGTCAGAAGTCTAAAAGTAGACAGCACAGTAACTTTGGGAATATAGGAATGGCTTCAGGAAGGTTCCTAGGTGGAGAAAAACAGAGATGAAGATGGAGGAGTAGACACACTAAGCAGAGTGCCCAGCATGAGCAAAGATCAGGTGTTAGAGTTATTAACAATCATAGGCTTAGAGTAGAGGATGCAAAATGTTAGTGACTAGACAGTAGGGGACATTCAATGCAGTGGTAAAGACTGATAAGCTTGGCAAATTTTGAAGCAGGAAAAGAACATGGACTAGTCTGAGACTAGATCATTTCTCTAGGTTCTGGTGTGGAAGCTGGGCCTCAGTGGAAGGGAGGTAAAGACATCAAGAGGGAAGCTGGGCGCCAGTGGCTCACACCTGTAATCCTAGCTACTCAGGAGACTGAGATCTGAGGATCACAGTTCAAAGCCAGCCCAGGCAGGAAAGTCTGTGAGACTCTTTTCTCCAATAAACCACTAGAAAACTGGAAGTGGCGCTGTGGCTCAAGTGGTAGAGCGCTGGCCTTGAGCTGAAGAGCATGGGGACAGCGCCCAAATCCAGAGTTCAAGCCCCACAACTGACAAAAAAAAAAAAAGTATCAAGAGGGAAGCTGGCTGCCACCTTATCCTAGGTGGCTGGGATGTGATGTGGGTGGATGGTTAGTGACTTCTCTTTTCGCTATAGGTAAGAGAGTTTGGCTATGTGACTCTGATGTACCCTCTCCTAACCCTATGGGTCTTCATGCAGTGAAGTCTGGGGAAATAGTGATGGAAGAAGATCCAGATAGGCAAGGATACCCATCTCCTACAGCTCCCTCTAGGACCTAATGTCCTGAGGAAGATATATCCTCCCCTCCCCTCCTCCAATCCCATGCCAATGCCTCTAAGACATTTTCTTTTCTGGGCACTGGGGCCTAGCCACCTGTTGTCTCTAAGAAGAGAGAAGGAGCCACCCTAAACTTAGCAGCTGCCCTTGGCCTCCTGCGCCAGCCCCTCCCGACCTCAGATGGCAGCTGCCTGGCCTTATATGGTTACCGTGGGGGTCTATGCCAGGGAGGAGCCCACTTTATTAGTCCTTTCTGGGAGGGGAGGAGGCCTCCAAAAAGGGCAATGGGGCAGTACTCAGTAAACCTGAATCAAATGGAAGATAGGGACAATGAGGAGGCCAGATACCGAATAGGCAGGCGATCACAGTATTTGGGTCTGAGTTGGGAGGCTCTGAGCAACCTCTGACAGAAACCAAAGAACTGAGAAGTTCCTTGAGAGCTAGATCTGTCTGAAATTTCAGGGTGGTGGAGTACCATATGAATACCGAGACCTTCTAACCTCCTGATGTTTAGAAGTGGGAAGGTTGGACCTCATAAAATTTGGTTTTTATGTTTATGGCCTAAAGGCAACCTGGTGAGGGGGGAGGGCTGCTGATATTGGGGTGTGGGTTCTAGAAATAAAGAGCACAGAGAGATGAGCCAATGAGGGGAGAGGGGCTGACTGATATACCTGTGTTCCTGGACCCTCTCAAGAACAGTAAGTTCATGATAGCAAAGCCTCGTAGATTTGGGTCCTGTGATTTCTCACTAGAATGGGGAGAGATGGGGTCTGGGAGAACTAGAGCTTGAATCTGGGTGAAGAATTCAGATTGATGGAAACTTGGGAGAGGGAATTGGGCTTGGGATTTCTGCCAGAAATGGGGAATCCAGACAGATAAATTCCTTAAAGTATCTGGGGGCTCTGACTATAGAGGCAGTCAGATAGAGTACTGGGTAAGAGCACTGGATCAGTAAGGGGCTCCGCAGCTGAATGGAAAATGGGGGCCCACAAAGGACTCAAGAAGGGCAGCAGCAGGCTAGTCATTGGTTAAGAGCTGCGCTAATGTTCCGGGCTTCTCCGTGCTGTCCCCAACTGTCACCCCCTTTCGCGCTTGTCTCCGGTTGTCACCGGCTATCCCCAGGCTGGCACTCTGCCTGCTAGCAGCATCCTTGCCTCCTCGGTGGTACCATTGGCTGTCGCTGTAAGTTATCTTCCTATGTTGCTAAAGTGGAGGAAAGCAATCATTGGTTGGAGCGACAAATTAATCACAAGTGTAACCCGCCTCTCCCCAGCTGTCATTCCGTCCTGACCATCTTGGGAGAATTCTTCCGCTCTTCTATTGACTCTGGACGCTGTCACTGTTCTAATAGACATCACGGTCTTGTCATTTTGACCGCCTACCCCCCCTTTTCATTGGCTCTCCTTTTACGTTTCTATTGGTTAGAAGCCTATCAAGCCCCGCCTCCCACTGCACAGCACCACCCTCATTTCCCGTTCTTCCGCAATCATTTACTCTGTAGCTGTGTTTATTGGCCAGAAGGTTCAGATTCCTGGTTTTCTACTGGTTGTTTCCTTCGTCCCACCTCCTTCCTTGGCTCACCCTCTGATTGGCCTCCTCGTCCTCCGCCTTCTCCGTTTCCTCCTTCTACATTACCCACCCACTTCCCGCCTCCAACACCACCCACCCAGCCATCGATTGGCAGGAACCCAGTTTCCTCTCTTCTATTATTCGTCCAAGTGCTTTGACAGAGGCGGGAGAAAAAAAGGGGCGCGAGGGGCCGGCTCCCGCGCAGGCGTGGAACGCGCCGACGCAGGCCGCTCCGCCGCGTGTGCGCAGGCGCGACGCCGGCCACTCGCTCCAAGCGGGAGGGAGGGGGCGGCGAGAGCGCTCAGGGGGAGGGGGGCGGTGAGAGGGCACGAGCGAGACCCCGGCGCGAGGCGCCCCGCGACCCCTGCCCCGCCCCCGCGCGCCCCGCGGCCGCCGCGCGCCGCCCCGCCCCTGGCGCGCGCCGGGCCGCGCCCTTCGCCCTCTCCCCTTCCCTGACGGGAGGCTCCGGGCGGCCTGAGGGGCGGCGCCTTCTGCGGCCTCCCCGGCCGGGGGATGTGAGGGGCGGCCGGCGGCTATGGAGACGGGCCCGGCGCCCCTGGTGGCCCCGCCGCGCCGTCATGGCGCCCCTGCGGCCCCCTCGCCGCCGCCCCGGGGTTCCCGGGCCGGGCCCATGTTGGTGGTGGCCCAGGGGCCGCCTGTGACTACGGCCACTTCGGCCCCCGTCACCCTGGTGGCCCCCGGGGAGGCGCGGCCCGCCTGGGTCCAGGGGCCGGCCCCGACCTCGGCCTCGACGGCCCCGGCCAGCACGGTGGTGGTGCTGACTCTGGAAGCTTCATCCGAAGCCCCGGAGATGCAGGTTCCCCCCGGCCCGGAGCCCCCGGTGCCCGCGCCCGCGGCCGCAGCCCCAGCGCCAGCGCCTCCGGCGTCAGGGGTGGACTCTCCGAAGATGGAAGAGCTTCGAACCTCACCTGTCCCAGGACCAGGGACTCCCACCGGGACCCCCACCAAGACCCCTTCCAGAACAGCTCCTGGGGTTCTGGCCGGCAAACCTCCGCTTGCCCCCAAGCCGGGAACCCCAGTGGCCTCAGGAGCGACTGCACGGGGTGCAGCAGCAAAGGTGACAAGTGGACCTGGACACGGGGCCGCAACAGCAACGCCAGCATCAGCAGGACAGGCTCCAGAGGACGCCTCGGGCCCGGGTCCTGGCGCTGCAGGGACGAGTGAGGCTCCGGTAGCTGTCGTGACGGTGACCCCAGCTCCAGAGCCGGTGGAAAACACTCAAGACCTGGGCTCTACATCCAGCTTGGGACCTGGCATCTCGGGGCCTCGGGGGCAGGCCCCGGACACCCTGAGCTACTTGGACTCTGTAAGCCTCATGTCCGGGACCTTGGAGTCCTTGGCGGATGATGTGAGCTCCTTGGGCTCAGACTCGGAGATAAACGGGCTGCCCCTGCGCAAGACGGACAAGTATGGCTTCCTAGGGGGTAGCCAGTACTCTGGAAGCCTGTAAGTAGCCACCAGGTACCCGGCAGGACCACCCCGGGAAGTGGAGGTCCAGGTGGAAGGGGGATGGTCAAATGACACACCTTGGCCAACCTCTAGCTGCCCAGCCTCCTCTGAGGATGGGGGAGAGGCGGTTGATTAATAGGAATGTGGTATCTAGAGCAGCATATTGATGGTTTCATGGCATTGGCTTGTTGGGGGGGGGGGGGGGAATCAAGGATCAGCACATCTGGTCCAAGCCTAGACCTTGTCTTTGGAGGGCTGTGTGTCCTTGAGCTAGTGGCATCCCTGTTTCTGAGCCTTAGTGTCTTCTATGAAG